GGTTAAGGGTACTGACTATTCTTCCAGGAGACCCGGATTCAATTCCCAGCACCCACATGGCAGCTCACAACTGTCTGTAATTAATTCCACCATCTGACATCCTCACACAAACATACATGCAGGCAAAACACCAATGCACATTGAAACAAAAAAACCCAGCTTATTCGTCCTGCCCATTTCTCATAAAGTTGCAATCATCTGATTTGCTAACATTCTTCAAATCTTCCTCTCTTCAGCTACCCAGCACCCAGGGACTCAGCTAGATTTGCAGAAGCCAGATGTGATCAGAAGAAAACTAGAAGAGGTTCAACAGCTGCGTCATGACATTGAAGACTTAAGGACCAGCCTGTCAGACAGATATGCCCAGGACATGGGAGAAAACTGTGCCACACAGTGAGGAGGGCCAGAGGGGACCTGGCTGTTTCTATCCTCACCAAAGGTTCCTGCCCTGACAATCCTGCCTTCTGCTGCACCCAGAGGGGAGAGCCTGTATCTGGGGCCAGGATACAGGCCTGCCTGTTGTGCTGTACACTGACTTTGCCTTACTGGGTTATGTTTTACCTGCTTTCTACTCTCAAAGGCTGAGTTACTAATTAACCTTTTTGCAGATTCAACGGATAAGGTCCTCACAAACTGTTCCCAGCCCTAACCTGACATCAGAAGCAAACAGGCTGCTCACCTCCCTGCTGCACCCTCCATGCTGACCCATGTTCATTCCTACTCCCTACCTTGGTCCTGCTGATGCTCCATTGAGAGGCCCAAAAGCTTAAGTAGGAGTAGCAACCTTTTAACAATTCTCAGGCCCGTGTACCAGCCTTCCTGGGAACTCAGCTGGCTTTCTGGGTTTTCTCAGGTAACCTGCTTCCTCAGGGCTGTTGTTCCCACAGAGGCCTCAGGGTTATCTCCCCCTTAACAAAGTCCCCACTAGGATTGCTGGCTTGGGACTACAGCAGGACTCCTCAGCCTGCCTGCTGTTCTGTTACAGGAAACTCTTGGCCACCCCGTGTCCCTAGAGCATAGTCATGTGGTCAGCATAGCCTTACTCCTTTGCTCGGGCCTTCCAGGTAGCCCCATTTGGGGTGCCTGAGTGCAGACTCCTCTGTGATTGCCGTATGGTTCCTTGGTTGGACAGAGTTTCCCCCCAGAAGACCATAGGGCAACTGTCAAGCTGCTCACCCCTTCCCAAGGCTGGGGCTGCAGCTAGCCCCCTCTGATTGGTGCCTCTCGTTTGGGGTTGGGGGCTTTCCTTTTCCCTCTCTGACCATGAGAGTTAGAACTCCTAATGAGGGTCAGCTCTAAAATAAGTGTTCAGTGTTTCGCTAGGGCCTTTGAACCCTTGGCTTTCTGGGTTTTTGTGCCTCCCTGATTTAGGGATGGCCTTAGTTTTATCTGGTTGTTGAGCCAGTCCTCAACCTCCTTTGGTTTGGAGCTAGGGGCCCTGGATGTATGAGGAACATAGTTTGGGGATGCAGAGGCAGCCACGATTGGACTTTGGCTAAGCCTCTGGCTGTTAAGTATCCTGGACCTCTAGGGCGGGCCTGACTAGCTTTCTTTTCAAGTGTTTTCAGAAGTTTGTGTTTTATGTGGTTTACTTTCAGAGTAGCCACACCTCAGCCTCTGGGATCCTGCCTCCTGAAACCAGAGAGCTGCCTGGTTGGTGTCCACCCTATGTCACTGGGAGCCCAGCCTCCATGCTCACGGGTATTGTTTTCTTCATAAAGTTTATAGTTATTTATATGAATCTTTGTTATGTCGACTGGTTTGTATTGCCTATTTTGATTACAGAATAAAACATTTTAACAGATGCTTCAGTTTCCTGTTTCCTCCCAACATCCCTTGCCCAGCCCTCACTTTGACTTGTGGAGCCAGTGACTAGTTCAGAGCAACTTTAGGCAGATCCAGCTTGATTTCTAAATCTCTTCCCACTTCTGCTTTGTTTGCATGGGGACAAATGATAGATCTCTGTCCCCACTCTATTGCAGTCGGCTCTACAAAGTTGCACCAGACCTCAGAGAAGTCAGTAGCTTCTGGGTTTCTGTGGCTTCTGAGGAAGTGACTTCCCCATAACCAGATAGGCAGTTTGCCTCAGAAGGCAGGATTGGCTTCCTGGGCCCTTAACAATACCTGTGTAGCCCTGGCTTTTACTCCTGAGGGGGCTATAGTGAACATAAACCGCTTACTCCAAAATTGGGATGAGTGTTACTCTTTCCCACTGCATCAGCTGAAGTCCTAATATTCAAAGCTGGCACTTGCAGCATAACGGTAGAGTTGAACTGGGACCACCCCAAAACTAGCTATGGGTATCTCCCAAGGGCCATTTGGAGCCAGGATTTCATGTCTTGGCACTGGCTATCCTTTGCCTTCCTCCACACTCTAGTGAGCTGTTCTGCCGCTTCTTACCTCCTCCTCCATCTGGCTCCAGAAGGGTGTGGCCCCAGTTAACAGCCACCACCCTTTCTAGTCAGAGCCTGTTTGAGTGGAGAGGTGCTTTACCCCCTCCCCAGCACCTCCACCGTCCCACCCCCGCCTTGGCTGCATTTCCTAAGCTTGAAAACTGCCTCGCCTTCAATCCCTTCAATCCGCTGAGTGCACTATTAAGGGACCTCCTAGAGACGAGGGTGGCACTGCGCTGAGTACTGGATGTACAAAACCGGGGTAAACTGGGAGCAGCTTTTTAACTGAACTGTTCTGCCTGCCTTCCCTGCTTTTTCTGCCATTTGGTCCCTCCCTTGCCACACGCCGTGAGTCCCAGGTCAGAAAGGGCTGAGTGCTGCTGAGGACTGGGGTCCTCCGTACTCCAGGCCACAGAGGAGGGCAGGGAGGGGAGCCAACCGCGCAGGGCGGTGTCATGCAGGCCCCGCCTTGCCCGCCTGCGCAGCTCATTGGCCCCGAGCTCACTGACTCGCGGGCGGAGCAGGAAGGAAACCGCTCCCAAGCGCGGCGGCAGCGTCGTTCCTAGCGTGCAGCTGCCGCTCCTACCATCTCTCGGTTGGTTTGCGTGTCCCCTTCCTGCAGCATGAGTGGTCTGCGCGTCTACAGCACGTCGGTCACCGGCTCTCGTGAAGTAAGTGTGTGCCTGGGCCGGCCCCGGGGAAGGCGAACCGTTTCCCTGTGCTCCGACCGGCGCCGGGGAGCCGCCCCCACGATGGAGGCAAAGAGGTGCGGGGTATGGCTTCCCAGGTCTAGTCCGGGGAACGCGGCCCAGCCTGAACCCCTCCACCAGGGATCCTTCGGCATCCCCGGCATGAGCTGCCCACGCCCATCCCCCACTATCGGGCCACCCATTTTATTGCACCCACCCACCCACACACCTCCTTAATCCCCGCTTCCTCTCCACTGTGAGGTTGTGGAGGAGGGTATTTCCCCTGTACGGCCTGGCCCTGCAGCTTCCCTGACTTACCCAGAACTTGACCGGCTTCTCTTTCTCAAACTCCTGTAAGCGATCCCTCTCATCCTTGGATCCTTCCCATCCCTTAGTGGCCAGAATCTCCCCATAGAGTGGGCAGAAGGACAAAAGCTCCTGCTAACTCGGGACCGGAGTTCCTTCCTGTCCATAAATCTTCCAGCCTGCCTGCCAACCCTGTCAATCCTCTGCCCCTAGATCAAGTCCCAGCAGAGTGAGGTGACCCGCATCCTAGATGGGAAGCGAATCCAATACCAGCTGGTGGACATCTCCCAGGACAACGCCCTTCGAGATGAGATGCGAACCTTGGCAGGCAACCCCAAGGCCACCCCACCCCAGATTGTCAACGGGGACCAGTACTGTGGGGTAGGGTTTGGGGTCTGGGAGGTGTTGGAGGACTGCAGCCAGGGTCAGATCTGGGCAAAGCAGTAGGGTCCCCTGCTCCTGCACTTGGGTGACTACCCCCTCTCTCAGGACTATGAACTCTTCGTGGAGGCCGTGGAACAGAACACACTGCAGGAGTTCCTGAAGCTGGCCTGAGTAGGGATGGCTACAGTCTACCCGCCTCCTCACCAAGCCATGAAGGACCTTGTGACCAACTCCCTGTCATCCCTAATCTGACCTTGGAGTCAGTCTCTCCCTGCAACCCAAGCCCTTTCTGTATCCTCCTCCTTCCTTCAGAGGCAACATTCCTTACTCACCAACTGGTCTCAGAGATTGTCTTAAGTGAGGCCCCAATGCTGGCTGTCCCTAGCCAGGCCTTGGGGCTACCTCCCTGCCTGGCACTGCCTGATGGGTATTTCTGTTAGTTCCATCAGCCAGAGCTCTGCCAAAGGCCCTGCAGACCCCGTCCTGGGTGCATCCTAGAGACAATTAAATGCCCATTCCACTGGTGCAGTCTGTCTGGTTATGGTGTCCTAGGTACCCGCTGGGCTTGGTGGTGATTCTGATAGTGTTAGAGCTGTGCTACAGCGGTGACTGCCTGTGTGTGTGTGTGTGTGTGTGTGTGTGTGGCACGTGTTAGTCTGTGTCTGACAGCACATGACCATGGTTGACATGCAGTTTCTTGACATGGTAGTTGAGACACCCTAGGTTTCCCATGCATGCTCTGACGCTCATCTGCCTGCCTGACTGCAGTGGCTGGCCCAGGACTGTCTGCTGGGTTGGAGACCAATTCAGTGTGGGTGGATGGGAGGTGTACAGCTCGCAGCAGCTCCATCAGATTGAGGCATGGGGGTAGTTGTGGCAGTTTTGTACACAGTATGGAGAAAGTGTCTGTAGGAGCATGTGGGTCTACATGTATGTGGGTCTACATGTATGTGGGTCTACATGTCTGTGGCTGTCACCAGCCGCCTGACCCCATGAGGCTCCCCTGCCCCCGCTGAGACAGAGAATGTCAACCCAGCCACTACCTCCACAGGATGGAAATACTTAAAGAGAAAATACTTGAGAGAAAAGGGAACCTAGGGGACAAAGAGCCTGTGGCTATGCCAGCTGGGGCTCCAGTTACAGGCCTAAGCGTCTGTACCGCCCCCTTCCTAGCCCAGCCTTCCCCTCTGGGCAGCCCTGTCTAGAGAGCCCTGTGGAGCTCATGATGTCAGGGGCGGCACTTTATTCAGGGAAGTGAGCCTGGGCCAGGGTGAGGGCCAGAACCAGTACCAAAGCTGGGGTTCGACAGCAGGGCTCTCCGAGCGCGTAACAGAAGTGTTGCATTGGGAACCAGGCCTGCGGCCTGCAGTGTGAGTGAGTCATCCTGGTAGACCATGGGTGGAAAGGTGCTGAAGATCTCAAAGGTGGCCGGATCCATGTCCCTAGGTGTCCATCAGAGTACATCACGCTAGCCCCTGAGGCTAAGGACTTCCTGCAGCCCCCAGCCCTGCCATGTACCCACCTGGCCTGTGCCAAGAGGTTTCGCACATCACCAACAGTGTCGTCGGGCCGCATCATCAACAGGAAGGCCTGCTCCCCGTTCTCAGACTTGACGCGCAGCATGGAGAGCGGAGGCACTGGCATGTTGGGTGACTCCTGGCTCCTGCAGGTCCAGAAGCCCTCAGTGCTCCCAGCTCCAGGTCCTCTCCCCTCTGCCCTGCTCTTACCTCTCTGCCCAACCCTCACCTCTGCCGTTCAGAAGCCAAGGCAGGTGTCTCCACTATGATCTCCTGGATCGGAGCAGGCAGTGGGCAGCAGTTCTGGAAGGCAGCCATGAAAAGTGGACAGAGACCTAGGTCCCGCCTACATCATTTCCTCCACCCCTAGAGAGCACTGGCTCATTCCTGAGCAGGGATGGATGAGACCGGTGAGCCAAAGAGCTGGGGCATTCTGTGTAAAGGGAAGGAGGCTCTGGAGGGCAACACCATCATTCTCTCTCCCAGTCCAGGGTGGGAGACAAGGCCACCCAGATGGTGGCCACACTTGGGGACCTCACCCAGCCTGGGCGCAGGGAAGACACCTGAGCTAAGTCTGAAGGATGAGTAGCAGTCATCTGAAATGGAATGAGCGGGACAGGGACACTCCCTACAGCACAAACATCCTGACCAACAGGAGCCTGAGGGAGGAGATACCGTGGGGAGCCTGCCAGCAGTTTACAGCTCTTGAAGCAAGGAACCAAGCCAGACGAAAGGAAGGAAGGGAAGGCTAGATATGAGGAGGACACTGATACAAAATGGACACCCAATTTCTCCCAGAATGCCCAGACAGTCCCAACAGAGAAGGCTGCTGGGGCACATGGCTAGCAGGAGCAGGAGTGAGGGGAAGGCCAGCACAGAAGGCTGTGAGACTCTGCAGTCTAGGCTCCATGGTGGCTACCGGTACAAGACAACTCAGGTGAAGGAGGGGTCTGGAGACACTGAGGCTCAGCACCCCTTTCTCGGGTGGTGACTTGGGAAGGAAGAACAGGAGTGAAGACAAGATAATGAACTCGTAGCACCTGAAAGGCCTGTAGGACAACTAAGGAGCACCGAGGCCAAGTTCAAGGACATGCCCTGGACCTTGGGCTCCTTCCCCACCCCCTCCACTGTAGCCACCCCAGCTGCCTGTGGGGTAGAGCATGGAGTCCTCACCAACTCCACAGAGATACCACACAGTTCTGAGGATGAACTTGCCATCCTGGCCTTTACTTGGGGCCTATAGGTTTGAGCCTCCGGGCAAGATATTGTAGGCTGAGCCAGGTTGGTGATAAAGTCCCCTTGGAGAAAGCTGGGTAATTAGGGCAGGCCTCACCTGCAAGGTGTCCCTGATTGGGCCCCGGATGTCAATCACCTGGCCTTGTCGAATTACACACTTGGGAAGCCTGTTCAGAAATTTCTCAGCAGTCATCCTGGAGCCTGCAGAGAGGGTATTGGGAACCTTGGCCCAGGAGGGACAGTAAGTGCTGGCAGAGGCCACCTGGAGCTTGCTCTACACAGCCCCCCAGCCAGCCTCGGAGCCAGCTTACCTGAAGTATCCTCCACCCTGTCCGAGGCCTTTCGAACTTTCTGCCGGCCCACCACACGACCCTCACCTGGGAACGAGCCCAGCCCATCCTCCGGGAAGACCTGATTGCGCAGGTCGCTTACCTAGCAGGAAGGAAGGGCCACAGAAGCAGGGAGCCCAACCCTTCAGCCCTGCAACCTCACCCCCACCCAGAGGCCTCAAGAACAACCCAAGGACGGCCTAACACAAGAGAACCACAGTTGATGCTGCTGCTACCACCTCAGGCCCTATTCGTGCAAGCACCCTCACTCATACAGCTGAAGCCATAGCACTGACCACCCCTCCTCCACTGGAAGCTGGCCACACAGGGAATGAATGTCAGGATAGCGCAGAGCCTTGCTCTTGTCTAGTCTGCAAGGCAGACACCACTGCTGCAGGCCACCATTGCCCTGTCTAGGCGGTTCCAAGGCTATCTCCACACCCAGATCTCAGAACCCCGTCATGACTCACACTATCTTTTGCATCATGGTGGCACACCCTTGCTGTGGAGAAAACCCACGTCCGGAGCCTGCTGCCTCCTGGTCCCCATGAGGACAACCTTCATCTCACTCAGCCCTGGTAACACGTGGGCTCACCTCCTGTCCTTCAGCCCAGCCAGGACTGCCTCTTTTCAGTGTTCGCAACTCATGCCCTGCTTCCCGCCACAACCACGTGACTTCAGGAGCTTCTGGGGTAAACTAAGCCCCCTGTGCTTTACAGATGCAAGAACCCCAGGCTGTCACACGGTGCCCTGAATGCTGGGGAGGGTGGGCAGAGAGTGCTCCCACAACCATGTACCTTCAAGATGCCAGCAGAGGGCACTGTCTGCTGCTCAGCTTGGGGGACCTCATGGCCACTCTGGCCCTGACAGCCTCCTCACTCTGCCCCCCACCCTCCTGCAGGACATCCGGACTGGGTCCCCCCGGGTGGATGGCTCCCTCTTGCTGATCCCTGAGTAAGCTATCCCATTTTCTCCTAAGCAGCACAGCGAAGGGGTGGGTTACCTTAAAGGGAACTCCATCAGGATACAGCCGCTGGAGCTCTGAGGGAAAGAAGCCATCCAGTATGTCCCGGAGGCAGCGCTGCAGGAGAGTGAACAGGCCTCTGTAGCCATGCTATGTCATGCTATGCCAAACCTGCTACCTGTTTGGCTGGCAAGCCCTAAGCATCATATTCTGGAAATATTGGGAACTCCAAGGTTGGAGGGGTGGGGCCTGTGTACTTTGTGGCCCACAAGCTAGTACAGTGAGCTGACTCCGTCTCCAAGCAGGGGTGAAGACAGGTGTGGATCCCGGAGCCCAGCCTACCTGCGTGGAGGGATCATAGAAGGGCCGGAAGGGCCCATCAAACATCATAATGCCATTCCGGTAGAGCTTTAGTGGGATGGGCTCTAGGGTACGGAGCTGTGCTCCACCAGGCACTGGTGTCACTTGGGCCTCTCCCTCCACCACCAGCTCACTCAGATCCTGCAGACTGGCCAGCAGTCTGTCAAAGTCCACCTCGGGGGGTACAAAAGAATCCCCTGACAAAAGAAACAGATGCCCATGAGCCTCTGTGGCTGCCGTGTGTCCTGGCAGCTCTGGCTTCTGGGGCCCCCACACTGAGCAGGGGCCTCGGCTCCTGGAAGAAAAGGATAAAGGCAGCTGTCTTTTATTGGATACTTACTTTGAACTGTTTATTTGAGCCCTGGTCCATTTGGCCTTGAACTCCTGACCCTCCTACTTCCACATCCCAAGTGCTGGATTACATGAGTGTCACCATACCTAGCAGGACACTTAGACTTTGGGTCAAGGACTTAATATCCATCATCCTATTTCCATCGCTTAGGACCCTAAACTGTAAGGGTTACACTCCTTCCCATTTTTAGAGGGGGAAACTGAGGCCAGAGCTTAGTAACTTCTTAGAAATGCACAGCATTACAAGCAAAAGCAAAGTTTGGTATTAGATCTGTGCCAGGCACTAGGTTGGCAAGCTCTCAGATCAAAGCTTTCAAGGTTCAAATCCCAGCCCCTGCATTCTTCCTGTGTGGCCTTCCCGTAATGCTTGGGGCTAGAATGGGAGGCCAGTAGTCTTGGCCTCCCAGGGTGGCTATAAGGTGCCAAGGAAATGGACACATGAGAGCTAACTTGGAACAGCCTGAACTGTTCATGTTCGCTCGCTGGTCACCAGCTCTGCCTTGTACAAATGGTCCTCGGGCCAACCCCTGGGAGGTAGGGGCTGTTTAATCTCTACAGTATGAATGAGGAAGCAATATCAGAAAAATGAAAAGTGACTCATCCCAGGCCACCTGGCAAGTTATGGGACTTAGCACCCAGCAGCAGCATCAGGAGAGGGAGGGTAAGGGTGGGGATGGATGGCTGTTAGGATGTTGGGACAGATGCTCGATGGGTATAACTATTTCTGGGTTGCACACTCTTTTTTTTTTTCGAGACAGGGTTTCTCTGTGGCTTTGGAGGCTGTGTCCTGGAACTAGCTCTTGTAGACCAGGCTGGCCTCGAACTCACAGAGATCCACCTGCCTCTGCCTCCCAAGTGCTGGGATTAAAGGCGTGCGCCACCAACGCCCGGCTGGGTTGCACACTCTTAAAGAGTCTGCCAGGCTCTGGCTCCTCTGGAAGCTGCTGCACACATGGCTGTGCAGTTATAGAGCATGCAGACAAAATGACCAGGACAGCCATGAATGTGCCCGAAGAGAAGGGTGGTGGGCAGGAGGGATGCTGGTTGGGGCCCCTGGCCACTATCTGAAGGGCTATGCCTGCCCCTGTCTCTGTCTGGGCTTGCCCAGTCTTCCCGGTTGTGTATACCAACAGCCCAGTTACATGATGCTGGGAACTAAATCTCGTGAATGTGAAGCAAGCATTCTTGCATCCCCTGCCCAGCCATGATATGGCATTGGTTTCCTTTACAATTAGTTTAAGGACAAACTGAGACACCTAAAAACAAAAACCAGAAAATATCTGCCATAAGGCCAGTCCAGTACCTCTTCCTACAGTTTAGGAAAGAAGGGTCTGCCACAGAATGGAGCCAATGCGGCTGGCCAAAGCAAGCCACCTCAGGGCCAAGGATATACATGGTGTGGGCAGTGGGGCAAGGGGACAGACTGGAATCCCTGGGACAGTGCTAAGAGTTACTGACAGCAAAAGTTTGCTTCAGAAGGCTGGCCTGGAGGGTGGGAACTGTAGACCAGAGGCAGAGCATTTGCATAGCCAAGAAAAGAGATGGGGACCCGGTAGTGGCACACACCTTTAATCCCAGCACCTGGGAGGCAGAGGCAAGTGGATCTCTGTGAGTTCAAGGCCAGCCTGGTCTATAGAAAGAGTTCCAGGACAACTAGGGGCTACACAGATGGGGGGACGACAGAGGAAGTGACGTGGGGAACTGCCTAGAAAAGTATAAGAAACCTGGCCCGGGTCAGGAAGAGAGCAGAGTGGGTAGGGTGGGCTGGGCTGCCATCGGGTGCGACAGACAGGAGGGGGAGACAGGGATCCCAGGGATAAGACAGGAGGAGCCTGGTGTGGCCAGCTTAGGCAGCTGTTAAGTCAGTGAGCCTCGCCAACACTCGGCAGAGCCTACGCTTGGAGAGAGGTGTGCTGGGAGCTCCCACACAAGGCAACACAGGCCAAAAGGCAAGTCCCAGGCCTGGCTAAGCCAGTGGAGAGACATGGCCCTTCTGTGAGATGGGCAGGTAAAAACCTGACCTGGTCACAAGAGCAAGTCCGTGGACCTGTCTGCTAACGCCGCAGAGGCCAGCATCACAGTTCCCATTTTACAGACGAGACCCTGGGCCTTGAGGGGTGTCATGCTCATCCACGTAAGCCTTGCAGGGACCACACAACTCATACAGCTCTCAGTGGCCATGTAGGTGACAGCTGTTCAGTGTTGGCACTTGGGACACATCTCCCTGGGATCTTTCTAGGAAAGGCCATGATGCTAGAGATCATCTTTAAGGCTTCCTGTAACTTGGGAGTTTGGTTTTGTTTTTAAGACAGAGTCTCACGTAGCCCACACTGTATGAAGCTGAGGATGACCTTGAACTCCTGACCCTCCTGCCTCCTCCCAAGTACTAGCCCAGCCTTTCTCTTTGCCACTTCCCTGGCCCTCAAGGGTCACACTGGCAGGGCTTCTGCTTGTGAGCTCTTCAGTCTCTGGCAAGCAAGCTTCTCTGAGACTCGACTTCCTCGTGGGTACAAGGACAGCCCGTCCCTGTGGTAGGAGTTGCTGTGTGCTCGCTTGGAGGGTGGCTGCTGCTGTCCCTCCCAGGCTGCACCAGGCCCCACCTCCTCTGAAAACCTTGCTAGGAACACCTGGCTCTCCTGTCTGATTCCTGTAAGCCCTGAGCTCTTTACCTTGGCCCTTGTCACACACTCTTGTCACTTTGTGAGATTATTTGCCTTCCAACTACTCGGGGGCACTCCTTCAACAAGGGGTAGAGCGCTGAACACTAACCTCGCCCAGGTGGATGCCCTAGAAGCATGTGCTGACCATGTGTCCACCTGTGTATCTGCCTGCCAGGAGGTCAAGAGCATGGCTCTGCTAGGTTCTCAGGGTGTCAACATCTTCCCAGAGTCCTGCCCTCCATGCTTATGCCCTAGAGGTGTTAGAGTGACAACGACAATGACAAAGAGACCCTGTGTGTAATGCAGAGCCCAGGACACCACTGTTGGCTTGGGCAGTGGCCCCGAGGCTTGCTGGGGGGACAAGCTGGAGGGTCCACCTCTCAGTCCCCGACACCCTCACCCAACCATAGCCTCCTGCATCAGGAAACAGCCACTGCTACCACAATTCTCCAAGCCAGGCCCCATCTGGTCACTTACCTCCATGTTCTCTGCTCTCAGAAGAGCCAGAACAGAGAAATGCTGAGGCTCTAGGGCACATTTGTCACCCTGACCCCTACCACTGAGCTTAGGGCTGCCCTGTCCCAATGGCTGACAGAACCAGACACACCAGGCACCATTGTCTCTCTTGCACAGGACGCATACCCTGGCCTACAGGCCAAGCACTGTGCTGCATGCAGCTGGGCATCACCAGTGGAAGAGACAGTGGCTTGAGGTCCTGCTGTCGCCCCAGAACACCTAGCCTGAGCCTTTAAGTCCCCCATTCCAGGAGAGTCCTTCCTGTGAGTTGCTGGCATGTCTATGGTAGCAGCCCGGATGTCTGTGGGGATCTGCTGGAGGGGCTAGGGTCTGAGTCAGAAGCATGTCTACCCAGGGGCAAATCAATCAGGCTGCCAGCGTTGACCCAGGAATTTGAGAAGCTCCAACCCAGATTCAGGGGCTTGGGCAGAAGGCTAGGGGTAGATTAGGGGCCTAGCAAGAGCAGGTCAGCAATGTGCGGTGAGGGTGGGAATTTGAGGAGAGAGGGGAGAGTGAAGAGCACCAGGCCGACTGCTCACCCCAGAGGCCCAACGCCAGCTGTCTGTTATGACCAGAACAGGACTGTCCCCGGAGCACTGGCACAGCAACCAATGTGATGTTTGTATCCTGGTGAGAGCTAGGGGTCCAACTGGGAACCTTTCCAGGCTGCCCCTCTACCAGCCCCCTCCATGGAGAAACTGGGAACCCTTCCTCAGGCAAAAGCTCTGCATCGAGAGCATTCTAATCACTTCCTCTGGCCCCAAATTGAGCTCTGGCTCTCCTGGCACTGGCAGTCTGTGGGAAGTGACACCCAGCAAACAGGTGCCCAGAAATGAGGCAGCAAGAAGCCAGCACAGGCAGCAGAGGACCCAGGGGACAGTCCCTGAGACAAGAGGGAGTTCCAAGAAGGAAAAGCTTCTAGAAATGGGTGCTGGGAAATAAACTCAGGTCCTCTGGAAGAGCAACAAGCATCTTAACCCTTAGCCATCTCTCCAGCCCCATGTTTGCCTTTGAGACAAGGTCTCTTGTAGCCCATGCTGTCCTCAGAACTGCTACATAGCGGAGGACAGTGTTTAACCCGATCCTCCTGTCGCCTCTTCCTGAGTGTTGGGATTGCAAGTGTGCATCACATGATTCATTTACTCCTTGTAAAACCCTGAGGGTAAGAACGTATGTCCCATATTGGAAGCCAACCCGGAACAGGTGGTGGGACAGAAATGAGGGTCTGAGCTACATTCTGGAGCCTAGGGAGGAAACTTCTCCACTGAAGAAAACGGGCCCCAGCCGGGCGTTGGTGGCACACGCCTTTAATCCCAGCACTTGGGAGACAGAGGCAGGCGGATATCTGTGAGTTCGAGACCAGCCTGGTCTACCGATCGAGTTCCAGGACAGGCTCCAAAACAATTCAGGGAAACCCTGTCTCGAAAAAACAAAAAGACAAAATAAAAAAATTAAAAAAAAAGAAAGCAGGCCCCATTTTGGAAACAGCTCTATGGACCTGAATCTAAGGGCAAGGTGGATGGGGCCACTAAATATCAGTGGTTAAACATGAAAAGTGAGGCAGAGACAGGCGGATCTCATAGTTGAGGCCAGCCTGGTCTACAGAGTGAGTTCCAGGACAGCCAGGGCTGTTACACAGAGAAACCCTGTCTCAAAAGCCAAAACAAACAAACAAACAAAGCATCAAATGTTTAGTAAGTCTGGGTCTCTGTAGCCCTTGATAGATAGGCAGGTAAAGACCGAGACCAGGGAGGGAGACTTGGCTTTTATTTCCCTGGGCCAGGGACAAGGTGTTGGGTTACTCAGCATCCCCACCCCCACCCCAATGCTGGGAGGCCAGAGAATGAAACAAAGGGCCTCTGAAGAGTGGCTGGTTTACAGGGGGCTGCTGGGAAGGACCAGGGCAGACACTCTACTCTACCTGGCTTCCAGAACTTCTTGGCCTTCATCCAGTCCTGCTCATCATTTTCAGAGACTATCTTTTCCTCTGAGTCCTCCTGGTCCATGGGCTCGCCCACCCACTGCAAGCCATAGTCACTGAGGAACCGCTGTGGGCAGAAGAGCGAGACGCGGTGTGGCACCACCTACCCCATTTCCATGGAGAGCATCGCCAGTCTGACCCCCAGCCTGTCCTCAGCCCAGAGTGGCCTGGACAATGGATTGCTGAAGACCCTGGCCACTTCCAGCCTGTGACTCTAGAAGCCGCTGACCTCCTAGAGCAGCAGGTTCCTTCTCCATGAGGGGACATGACAACACTTGTCTCACTGTGCACAGTAAGACTCCTCAGGCCAAGTAGGTAGCACAGCACTCGACTCAAGAACTCCGTAAAGCAAGCCACGTGGACTGTGTGGCCTGGCCTGAGCATGAGGAGGCAGGGACACTTGTACTACAGGAGTGAGCCTCCGTCTTCTTTCTGACACACTGACTTTGTGTGTGTACACGTCCATATGTCTGTGAGTCCAGGTGTGTGCGTGCACATGTTCATATGCAGTCATATGTGGAGACCAGAGGACAAGCAGGGCAGCATTCTTCCTCAGGCACTCTCCATGTTGGTGTTTTTCAGTCAATGGCCTGAGTCTTGCCTGAATCCAAGACTGGCTAGAGAGCCCCAGAGATCTGCCTGACTCTGTTTCCCCGGCTCTAGGATGATTAATTACTCCATGAAATCATTACTGGCTTTTCTTTTTTTCTAATGGTTCTAGGAACAGAACAAGGGTCCTCATGTTTGCAAAGCAAACACTTTACTGACTGAGTCATCTCCCCGGCCCAGGAGAAGTTGCCTATACATTTATTTATTTACTTACTTACTTACTTATTTGGTGTTGGGGGTGTTTCCAAACAGGGTTTCTCTGTGTAGCCCTGGCTGTCCTAGAATTCACCCTGTAGACCAGGCTGGTCTCAGAGATCCACCTGCCTCTGCCTCCTGAGTGCTGGGACCAAAGGCGTGCGCCACCACACCTGGCTAGGGTAGTTTGTACTTCTGTTATCACTTCCTTCTCTCCCCTTCTTTGCCAGCTCCTCTCTTCCACAGCTCACTGACATGCATGTGCTGTGGTAACCAACTGTCTGCTGCTGCTGCGAAACCCTGATGCCATTGTGTCTCATCTCTTTCAACACTGCTGCTTCTCCTGTCACTGCATGTGTGACTACGTCTTTGTCATTTCTACCCCCACACACCTGAGAGGTTCCTTAGTGCCCAGCCCTGACCATACTCTCTCCTTTATGGCTCTTGTCCACTCCTACACACATAAGGACAGAACCTAAATCCACACCCAGTGTGGCTTCTCCTCTGAGCTTGAGTCCCACTCATAACTGAGCAAATGTCCAACAAACACCTAAATCCACTCCTGCCAATAGTCCCTGAGCCCCATCCTGTCCCCAGTCCTCTCTCCATCCTGCAAGGAGAACCGCTCTAGCTACCAACGTCCGTGGCCCACTCCCCTCTGCTGTACAAAGGGTTCAGTGCCACCAACAGCGTCTCAACCGTCCTTGGCAATCTATCTCATGCTCTCACCCTAACCCAAGCCGCCATAGCCTCCGTCCCCACCCTTGTCCCACTTAGAGGCTGTCTGTCAAGCCTTCTACTGAAACCTTCGGCTTAGGTCTTCTTCCTGCTGTTGCCAAACCCGGGAGCCATTCTGTCCTTCAACACAGCTGGTTTTCCTCCCTCCGATACATGGCTGCTTCTCTGCCATTTTCACTCCACACGCCTGTGAGGTTCCCAGCACCCAGCCCTGACCACACTCTCCTCCATGGCTCTGCCTTACTCCCACATACAGATCCCTCCCAACAGAGCCCACAGCGAGGCCCCTTTGGCCTGACCTCTCTCTCTCTTCTCATGACCTCCACCACAGCCAGACACAGTGGCGGTCAGAGCCTTCTACCTCTTTGCCTAGACCCTCCCAAGTCCCGCCCCCCTTTCCAGATCTGCTTGCAGTGACTCCTCCCCCAATTTGTCACCCACTTCACTATTCCCTGCACTCTCACATCCTGTCTAGTCACATGTCTCTCTGCTTCTGTAGACTGTCAGCCCCATGCATGTGGGGACTATGTCTTTTTTTGTTTGTTTTGTTTTGTTTTTTCCAGACAGGGTTTCTCTGTATTGTTTTGGAGGCTGTCCTGGAACTCACTCTGTAGACCAGGCTGGCCTCGAATGCACAGAGATCCACCTGCCTCTGCCTCCCAAGTGCTGGGATTAAAGACATGTGCCACCAATGCCCTTCGAATGTGTCTTTTTGTACAGACGACACGAGCCTAATGGCTGGCAGTGTCAAACAGGATAGATAGATACTTTAGGTTTGTTCAATTAATGAATCAATAGACATGTGAGAGGTGCATGCTTGAGTCAGAGGTGCCCTTGGCTGAGGCTGTGGCCTTGCCCCACGGGCTGCCACACTCCTAGAAGATAGCTTGGGCACAGCTGTAACTGTCACCCATAGCCCCAGATGTGAACAGGCCTGCAGTGGGCTGGAGGTCACTTCTGATATTATGGGCTGGGGCTTTGGAAAGCCTTCTGCTTGGGGCTAGAGACTCTCCATTCCAGAAATGACTCTGGGGTGGACCAGCAGAGGACTGAGGTACCAGCGTTGAGCAGGCAGGGGTGCTGGCCCCTTCTGAGCGCCCAGTCCCTTCCAACTCAAGCCTTGCAGCTTGACCACAATTCTGAGGGAGGAAAAGTAAGCGAGGTGACCAAATTATTGGGTAAAGAAATTGTGGTCACAGGCAGGAGGTCCTGAGCTCTAGGTCCAGGGTGAGCCATGCACCCCTCGTGGAGCTTACGTCCCACGGAGGAAGAGATGAGGCAGGAAGGAAAGCAGAGGATGAGAGGCCACACTGGTCACAGGAAAGAAAAGGCTTCAAGGAAACAAGTGAAAATGTATCTCCAGGAGGAGGCAGGCTATGGTCCATGCAGACAGCAGCATGCACCAGATCCTTAGGTAGGAAAAAGTTCATTAGAGAACCAGGGAAGGCATGGAGAGCAGAGCAGTTCTGTGAGGAGAGAAGGGCTAGCCACAAAGCCACAGTGCTACACAGAACAAGCGGAGAGTTAGGAAGTGCAGGAAGCAAGAGGGGGTGTGTTCAGAGTCTGATTTAGCCCAAGTGGAGTAGTGTGTCATGGTGTCACCCCCACCCTGGCTCTAAACTGAGTCAGCCCAGTGCAAGGAAACAGGCAGGGCCCCTGAATGATGTTGAGGGGCTCTGCCACAAGTCCTTGCAGCCAGGCTGAGACCAGAGAGAGTGGCCTGGTCACCCACTCTGCCGAGCTTAACCTCTCACCTCCATCTCGCCAACCTGCCGTTGCAGCTGAATGCACAGGGTCTCCAGCTCCTCCTGCCTCTGCAGGGTTGCGTTGGCTCCTGGGGAAGAGCTGAGTAAGCGATTCTACTGCCATGGCCTGGAGGCTGCCAGGTGCTCTGCCCTAAGGTTTTCTGGGGATTTTCGGAGAACTGCCCCCGAGCCAGCCTCTCTGACCCTGGGGGTGGGGTGGGGATGCCTGAACTGATTTTTGAGGGGCAGCCATCCCTCCTTCCATTAGAATGTGGCCCCTCCACGCTCTGGACAGTGCAGTCTAGTGTCAGGCACAGGGTAAAGGACTGTTGTCTCTCTGGTCTCAGATGTTCAGACCCCACCAAAAGTCTGCCTGATGCTCTTGAAGCCTTGATTCCCAAAGCTATTGTCCAAGCTCCCACAATCCATGGACCTGAGCAGGTACCTGAGCAACAGCTTCTTACCCTGGTTCTGCTGGAGGGTCTGCACCAAATCCTCCAGGGCTAGGATCTTCTGGTCCTGAAGCAGTGAGACTTGGGGTCAGGGTAGTAATAAGGTAAGCTTTAGCCCTTCCTATGGGATGGGCCACACCTGCCTGTGTGTGAGCATTAACCTGTCCCTATCACCCTTCCGAATAGCTCCTGCTTCTGAGCCTCAGAGAATCCCATCTCTCTGACAGTCCCTCTACTTGAGGAAAGGCACAGGCCATGTCCTGGGCCCAGTTCCCAGTTCGCCCCTTCTGCTCAGCAGCCTGCTAACTACCCAGCCCACATTCTATCAGGCTCTGCCTGGGGGACCAAGATTATTCCCAAGTCGTGGCTTGCCATCAGAAGAGGCCATTCAAATGGAGGAAACAGTCCTCCCGCTGTCTCTGGCCTCAGGTCCTACCTTGGACAGTAGCTCATCATTCTGGGTCTTCAGCTGCTGCTCCAGCTCCTGCAGCTTCCTGGCCATGGAGGCCACCAGCTCCGAGTCACTGAACACAGTTCCTGCCAAGTGAACGAAGTTTCTAGTGCCCAGGCCTGGAACTGAGGCTGACATGGGAAGGGCCAGGGAGGTAGAAGGCCGCAAGAACAGAAAGGGCAGTCCCAACAGCAGCTAACACTTGCGTGACAGGGGCACCTGAAGCTCTTTACCCAGAGCAGCTCACGCAGTCCTCACGCTGGGCTACTTTGTGAAGCTGGGTGGCGTGCAGCGACTTGTTCCAGGTATGTGCATCCGTTGGTACAGCATATAGGCCATTAAGTTGTGTGTGTGTGTGTGTGTGTGTGTGTATACAGGGCTGCATACCCCCTGCACACACGTGCAGAGGCAAAGGAGGATGTGAGTGCCTTCCTCTGTCACTCTTCACATTTTTGGTGGCAGTGTGGGGGTCAAACCTAGGACCATATGCATGCTAGGCAAACGCTAAACCTAAAGTCTGCTGTTTGGGGTAGGCTAGCTGGCCAGAAAACTCCCACAATCCACATATCTCTGACCTCTAATGGTGGGGTTACAGGGATCATAAGAGTGCTGGGACTTGAACTCAGGACCTCTTGCATTCATAGGGAGTACTTTTTTTAAGATTTATTTATTTAATTTATTATGTACACAGTGTTCTGTCTGTATGTATGCCTGCAGAAGAGGGCAGCAAATCTCATTACAGATGGTTGTGAACCACCATGTGGTTGCTGGGAATTGAACTCAGGACCTCTGGAAGAACAGCCAGTGTTCTTAACCTCTGAGCCATTTCTCCAGCCCCATAGGGAGTACTTTTACCCACTCAGCCATCTCTTTGCCATCAAGCCTAGTGACCTGAGTTGGATTCCTGGGATTCACAGGATGGAAGGAAAAGAGTGGGCTGTTATTTGACACATACACATACTCAACCTCGTGTGTGAACACAGGAACACACACGCAATAAATAAATAAATAAATAAATAAATAAATAAATAAATAATCAATCACCCAATACCCATGTGTCCTGCCACATGAGTGGTTGGGACTTTGTCAGATGGGCTTGATGGCATACACCTTTATTCCTAACACTTGGGAGGAGAGGTAGGGGATCTCTGTGAGTTGGAGGCCAGCCTGGTCTACAGAGTGAGTTCCAGAACAGCAGGAGTACATAGTTAAATCCTGGGCTTTTTTTAAGTTAGTTCCACCATTTTAAAGATTTAAACAGACATAAATTATATTGCAGTGATGCATGTAGCTTCACTCCCTCCCAGGTCCCAGGTCAGGGGGGAAATCATTCTGTGAGATGCTTGGAACTACCAAGGAGACTGGAGTGTAGAAGAGACATATGTTAAGGTAATTAATAGATTGTGTTTCCTTATAATTAGGAGATGCAGGGGTCCCGAAGGTCAGGACCTATGCAGTCTACCTCTAACTTGCTCATCCAAGAGATGCCCTGTACGCCTATCTGTACAGGCTGCAGCGGGGTGACTGTGGTGAGATCTATTGCTATGAAAGGAGACACTGTACTCCTACGTCAGCTTTTCTGTACACTGAAAAAAAAGTTCAAAATAAAGCTTGGGAGTTAGGGTAATGATATACCACTTTTATCCCAACACAGGAAGATCGGAGTTAAAGGTCATTCATGGCTACATAGTAAGTTTGAGGTCAACAAACTACATGAAACTGTCCCAAACCTCACCCTCTCAAAAAAAGAGTGTGATGGGATGACACAAGCTTCTTCATCCCCGCAGACACTAGTTACCCTAACGACACGGACAGCAGGGGCTGCAGTCACAGTCACAGACCACACTGGATGCCCAGGGTGAAGAAACCTGAACTCTATTTTGACGGCATCTTCAAGTCCCTCATTTCCCAGCCCCTGAGTTGCCTTTTTAGGGCTTCTAAGCCTGAGGGTAACACATGTCCCTAGTGTGCATGCTCACTGAGGGAGGGCCCTCTGGAATTTGGAGCCAAAAGCATCTTAAAGGACATAAGAGGAAACGTTTGAGCTGTCAGCACATAGAGCATGGCTGCCCTCACTGGAGCAGTATGGAGGGAAGGAAGGGAGAGTCGGGGAGGTGGGATGTCCACGGTGAGCGGTGGAGAAGAAAAGGGAGCACTGAGAAAAGAAAAAGGAGAAAGAGCCCAGGATAATGGGAGACAGAGGGGCCATCGGCGATCTAGGCAGCAGAGAGCTGCTCTCAAGAGGAGGCAGTGGGGGCAGGGAAGGGGGCTGCTGAGCAGAGAAACGGAGCAGAAAAGGCATGTCCTACTGGAGACCTTGGTGACACACACCGGCGGGAGAGAAGATGCGCTGTCCCTATAAGAGAAAGAGGTGGTAGCTACATACTCACTACCGTCCCCAGCTAGGTGCACTAGATCCTTCTCTTTGTAACTATGGGACTTGAACTAGGCAAGTCCTGTCTCTTCTACTTTGACCCTCTGCCAATGTCCAATGGAGGGGAGTGTGGTTTAAGGGCACTTCCTGCTGCCCTTCAGAATAGTGGCCATTGCTCTGGTTACCCTGTGTGATAGCTAGGGACCCCCCACCAAGCAGCATCTTACTAAAGCCCTACAACATGCCATCCCACTGCTCTCCTTCCCCAGGGGACAGGGAAGCAAGATGCTAACGTTGTTTAAGCTGTTACTGCTGGTGGAAAGTTCTAGCCTTGTCCCCAACTTCCCCTGATCCAGCCCAGTGCCTGTCTGGCTCCTCTGCTCCTGTCCCCATGCCACTGTAGGCAACTCCATACAGGCCTATGAAGACACAAAGTCAGGTGAAACTCCCTGCTATGGAACTCTCAGCCCTTTTGGTGTTGCTGATGAGAAAGCAGATGGCCAGATGCTGAGCTCCCCTTCAGGCCTTTTGATGTCTCTGAATCTGAACCTCAGACCCACTGACATCACACCTGCTGGAGACTGGAGAGTTGCTAGCCCCAGCCTGGTGTGGAGCTTGGCCAGCCCCCCAGCCTCTGGCTTTGGTTAAATCCTGACCTGGATGGGTTTGGGCATACAGGCACTGGGCCAGCTTGCCAGAAGTAGGCGAAGTGTCTCAACCCAGCAGGTGAGAGTAGGAGCCACGGCTCACACGGCCTTAGCCCATCGCTAAAGCCTGTCCTGCTGCTCTGAGCAAGGGGCCACAGTCACCCTTCAGCCCCCTGTTCTCACCTTGCCTACCCACAGGGGCACCGATGCCTCCATAGCAGGAAGGGACAGAGATCTTTTCTTCTGGGTCTTGTCCATCATTCAGCATGTCCACTTCATCTTCTGCAGACAGGGACGCCCAGGTCACCGCTCTGGGGGCCACAGCCCAGAAAGCACTCTGGCCCTGGGCCCTGGCCAAGATGAAACAGCTTGTCTACTGCTCCCTCACCCCCACCCCGAGGGTGCACAGTCAAGTCAGTGATAAGGTCAGGGCTCCAGGGAGGGAAGGCTGGAAGGCTGAGGTCCACATCTCTGGTCTTCATAACCATCTCACATTAGGCAGGAGTGCTATGACAGTGGGCACATCTCTGCTGAGGAGCAGGGCAAGGAGTGGCCCAGACCTCTGAGCAAGGGGAGAGGCCTCAAAAGTACAGGGAGCAGGCAGATGGCCAGTCTCACAAGACCTCAGCCTGCTCTTTCCCTTGCTGCCCAGGTGGAAGGAGACAGGTGAGAGGGGAGGGGACATGGGGGGGGGCAGAGCACACACTCACCATCTCTGTAGATTCTTATCCCTCGCCTCCTGGGAACCCAGGCAGGAAGAAGGAACAAATACAAATTAAGCCTCCTGGAATGCCACCAAGGAAAGGTTCCAGGCCCCATGCAAGGCTAAAAGAGATAGAGGTTAAGCCTCTATTTCCTGAAGATCTCCCCCTCCCCGAAGTTGCCCTTAGCCAGGGTGAGCCAAGGGACACACTGTATAGTGCCTAATTCCTCCCAACAGAGAAAGATGGAGGGACACTGTAGGGCAGTTTGGGTGGGAAGACCTCAAAATTCTACAGCTCACAAGGCTGGTCCTAGCTCCTCTCTGAAGTACAGTGGGCACAGGCTTGCTACTTAGCCTCTCTGGATCTAAGCAAGACTCTAAGTGTGTTTAGAAAAGTATCAAGGAGGGCTGGAGAGATGGTTCAGTGGTTAAGAACACTGACTGCTCTTTCAAAAGACCTGGGTTCAGTTCCCAGCACCCACATGGCGGCTCACAACTGTCTATAATTCCAGTTCCAGAGGACCTGACACCCATGGCAAAGCACCAATACATATAAAATAAAAATTAATGAATTAAAAAAGAAAAGAAAAGCACCAAGGAAACAGGAGGCAGAAAAGGCTTTGCTCCAGGTGTGGGGACGCACACCTTTAATTCAAGCACTTTGGAGGTAGAGGCAGGTGGATCTCTGTGAGTTTGAGGATGGCTAGGACTACACAGAGAAACCCTGTCTTGAAAAGCCAAAAGAAAAAAGAAAAGAAAGAAAGAAAGAAGAAAGAAGAAAAAGAAAAAGCTTTTCAAGAGCTCAGCACAGAGCCTGGCCCAGGCAGCCAGAGCATCATGTTTGCAGATGAGTGAGCAGGGAATGACAAGCACGCTCACGGGGCCATGTCTAACAGGAAGCAATGTCCAATCTTTGGTCAACACAAAGCAGAGTTCCCAGAAGGCACAAAGAGAAGGAAGGTAGACACAGAAAGTCACTAACTGCTCTCCGTATTCCCCTAGACACTAGCGGTCATTCTCCTCTGTGAGGGAGGGGTTAAGGAGGAGACAGGGCGGGGCACAAGGACCTAGAGACCCGCTGGCTCCTTACCCAGGATTCACAGGCTCCGACTCTAGGGGCACCTTCCGTGTCTTGCTAAGAGAGGCCAGAGGTGAGCTCATAGCTCTAGTCTCAAGGCTAGCTGTCAGGAACTCCTGAGGGGAAAGAAGGAAGTCAGCCCTTGGGGACAGAGGAGACCAGGGCTTCAGGTCAGGGGGAGGAGCACTGTCCAGGAGAAGCAGCCCCACTCCTCCAACGTGGGCTGGGGTTCCTGAGGTCTGCTGGTTCCTCTGAGCAGCTGACCCTCTGTTCTAACACAGAACCCCTTGCCTGGTGGGGTGCAGGGCCTGGAGCTTCTCCAAGTTTAGAGTGTGTGCTCTTATGAACCCAAAATTGAGCTGGCTGGCATAAAGCCCAGGTATCTCCTGTCAGCCTGTCAGAACCCAGGTGCCCCCATCATCTCAGAGGGAGAGCAGGCTACCCACAGGCAGAGTTCATTGACGACACAGTCATGTGCCATCGAAGCCAAGTGTCTCGGCCCTTGCACATGCCCTACTGCCCACAGGGCTAACTGGCTCCTCACTTTCTCCCATGTATAAGGTGCATGGTATCGGCACCTACCAGGCAGGTGGCTGGATGGGGGTGGGGCACAAAGTCCCAAAGCATTCTGCCCAGTGCCCAGCTCAAGGCAGGCACCTGCCAGTTGAATTGTGGCTATGTGTGTGGAATCATTGTTATTGACACGGGGTGAACATTCAAAAATGCTGACTCCCTTCTTCTGATGAAGAACACGCATGGCAAGCCAGTGCTAACTAAGGCCACCACTCTGTCCCCTACATGAAGTGACCAAAACCTAGCAAACCTAGAGCCAAAGAAGGGATCTCTGTTAGGGAGGGTCTGAAAAGAGTCTTCAGGCTAAATCCAAAGCTGTACTCTAGAAATGTGACACGGGCCTTCCCCGATACACTGGGTAGTTTTTGTCAACGGGACACCAGCTAGTGTCATAGTGAAGAGGGAACCTCATTCCCTTGATGAGAAAATGCTCCCATCAGATTGGGCTGCAGGCAAGCCTGTGGGCCTAATTCTCGACTGATGAGGAAGGGCCCAGCCCTCTGCTGCTGTGCCACTCTTGGACAGGGAGGTTGTGAGCTGGATAAAAGCAGGATGAGCAAGCCATGGGGAGCAGACTAGTAAGCAGCATGCCTCCATGGCCTCTATTTCAGTTCCTGCCTGACTTCCCTCCATGTTGGACTGTGACATGGGAAATACAGGTCAAATAAACTCCATCCCCACGGTCCTTTTGGCCATAGTTGTTACCACAGCAATCGAGAGCAAACAGGACAGACTGATACTCTCCAGTAGGGGAACCCATGCTGCCTCAAGGCAGCCTCCCTCACCTTCTTTCTGAAGTCTAGGACTCATGCCCCACCCTTTCCTCAAAAGAGACCCCTCCCAAGGCCTGGGAGCAGAGTTCCCTCACCCACCATCCAGCCTCCTCACCATAACCCTGCATTGCTCGTGGGTCTGGGCTCCCTGATGATTTGTGTGGCTAAATAGGACAGTTCCTAGTGGCTCCTTTTATTCATGCCCACAAGCAACAATCACATGCCACACCCCCCGCACAAACCTCCCCAAGGACTCCTTTCACCCTTGAATGAAAAACTCAAAGCTGGGCATGGTGGTGCATACCTTTAATCCCAGAACATGGGGAGACAGATCCCTGTGTGTTCCAGGCCAGCCAGGGCTACATAGTGAGAACTTATCTAAAAAAGAGGAAGAGGACGAGGGTGGGGAGGAGGAGGAGGGTAAAGAGGAAAATAAAATTCCTATGGGTAAACTGGCCCTGTCTGCCTCCTCAAATTATCCCCCCTGAGCATCCTTGCACTGAGGACACCCAAGCAATGCCTGGAACACAGGGCGCACTGTCATTAGCCCCCTCTCCGGGGAACCAAACTTGAACAGCTAAGCCATCTCCCCAGCCCTAACCTCTTCTTCTGGGATGGCCTCCTCCTCTGACCCATACCCTTCCTCTGGCCAAGCTGAACCCTCTATTTTCCTTCTATTTCTTCTTAGGCTATAACTTAGCTTTTTATTTGGAAATTACCAGAGATTCACAAGAAACAGTTCTGAGAGGCCCCGTCACCCAGCTTCCCCCTGTGGTTACCATCTTATGCAACGCAGGAAAGCGTGAGCAGCAGGAATGGGCTGCTTCTGTAGTTTGTGTGTACAGACCCGTGCCATCTGACCACACAGACAGATTGGGTTTTACCACCGCCACCAAGATGCAAGCCTTTCCCATCCTCACAGCCTTTCCTCCTGCAGGCTGAGTCATACTATGCCCCTCACTAGCCTTTCCCATCCCCACAGCCTTTCCTCCTGCAGGCTGAGTCATACTATGCCCCCTCACTAGCCTTTCCCATCCCCACAGCCTTTCCTCCTGCAGGCTGAGTCATACTATGCCCCTCACTAGCCTTGACCTCTGGCAACCACCACTGTTTTATCTAGAATTGTCTTTCTTTCCTTATTTATTAAGACAAGGTCTCAGTGTGGGGCCCTGGTTAGTCTAGAACTCACAGAGATCTCACCTGACTCTCAGTACCAAAGGTAGAGACATGAGCCACCACTCCTGCTCAGCTCTGGAATTTCTTTGATAAAGTTACATAAGTAGAATCATATACTAAAACCACCTTTTTTTCTTACATAGCCCTGGCTATCCTGGAGCTTGCTCTGTAAACTAAGAGATCCCCTTGGCTGATTCTGTTCCCAAATTGCTGAGATTAAAGGCATGTGCCACTGCCTCTCCGAAAAGGGCTTTTTTTTTTTAAAGATTTATTTACTTATTACCTATACAGTGTCTGCATGTCTGCCTGCACACACCAGATCTCATTATAGATGTTTTTTGAGCCACCATGTAGATGCTAGGAATTGAACTCAGGACCTTTGGAAGAACAACCAGTGCTCTTAACCACCAACTCATCCCTCCAGCCCAAAGGGGTTTTTTGTTTGTTTGTTTTTATTTTTGTTTTGTTTTTTGATTTTCAAGACAGGGTTTCTCTGTGTAACAGCTCTGACTGTCCTGGAACTTATTCTGTAGACCAGTCTGGCCTTGAACTCACAGAGATCCACCTGCCTCTGCTTCCCGAGTGCTGGGCTTTTAAAGGCATGTGCCACCACCACCCAGAGAAAGTGTTTTTTTTTTTTTTTGTTTTGATGTTTTCTTTTTGTTTGTTTTGCTGTTGAGACAAATCTCAATATCTAGTCTAGGATGGCCTCTTACTTGTGATTCTCCTGACTCGTCTCCCTGGTGGTCAGAGGCCTGCAGATGCCACCACTATTTATTTATTTGTGTGTTTGGGGGTGCACATGTGTACAGGTGCATGTGCATGAGTGCTTTGAGGACCACCCAGAGTGTCAGTCCTCAGGCACTCTCCACACTATTATTAGTTTTTGATTTATAGGGTTTTTCTCTAGCCTGGAACGTGTCAAATAGTCTAAGGTGGCAAGCAACAAGCCCTAGGGATCCACCTGGATGACAAGTGTCTGTCTGTGCCATGTGTGTGTTTTTGTTTTGTTTTCAACACATATTTATTTATTATTATGTGTGGGCGCATGCATACAATGATGAGCATGTGGAAGTCTGAGAATAACCTGAAGAACTCTGTTTTCTTTTTCCACCACATGGATCCTGGGGATGGAACTCAGGTGGTCAGACATGGCAGCAGGAACCTTTATCCACAGAGCCGTCCTGCCAACCCTCACACCTGTTCTAAAGATCAAAGTCAGGTCCTCAAGCTTGCAAAGCAAGTGCTTCGCCAACTAACCTGTCTCCCTAAACCCGTGTTATTTTGAGATAAGATTCCACTGTTTAACCCTGGCTGGCTTCGAAGTCACAGAGATCCTCCTGCCTCTGCCTCCCAAGTGCTGGGACTAAAGGTATTGGTCACCACCGCCAGGTACTTAAACTTATCTTTAATGAACTTTTTCAGGACTAGAGAGTGAGCCTAGGGTCTTGCACATGTTGTACTGCTGCGATCTATCTATGGTCTTTTTTTTTTATTAATGAAATAAAGTGTTGGTCTTAAAAATGGCTCAGAGGTTAGGAGCACTCGCTGCTCTTGAAGAGAAGAACCTGGGTCCCGTTCCCAGCAATCACATGATAGGCAGTCATGACCCTCTTGTAACTCTAGTTCCAGGAAATCGGATGCCTTCTGGCTTCCTCAGACACCAGGCATGCACATGGTGCACATACATACATGCAGACACTCACATTACGTATAAAATTATATATAAAGAAAAAGGAAGGTCTTTGCCCAAGATGGCCTTGAACTGACTCTAAAGTCTAGGCTGACTTTAAACAAGTGATGCTCCTGCTTCAGCCTCCGGAGTAGTTAAGATTACAGGTCTGCAGACCACCAAGCCCCAGACTCTATTTTGTTTAGTTACTGTTTGTTTTTGTTCGTTTGTTTTTAGAGACAGAGTCTCACTTTGTAGGCCAGGCTGGCCTCAAACTCGGAGATCCTTTCCTGCCTCTGCCTCCCGAGTGCTGGGATTAAGGGCGTGTACAACCACACCTGGCCTCGATTTATTTTTTAAAATTTGAGACAAGGTCTCGCTGAATTGCCCTAACTGGCTAGGGACGCCCTATGAAACCCAGACGAGCTTCATACTGGCAGTCCTGCCTCAGCCCGCCACAACCGATGAAGGCTGCAAAGGTATGGTTGTCTCCTCCGATGAGGGTTACAAACGTGTCCTATGCTTCTCCATCTTGAGGATCGAACTCAGTGCTGCCCTAGGCGTTCATGCCTCGACACTCGGGGCTCTGTGACTGCCAGGCGGCTGCGCGCCACCCTCCTAAACCCTTGCTGGGCGTGTTTGCAGGGTGAAGCAACGGCGCCCAAACCCCGCCCCGGGAGCCCGCCCTCCGCTCCGCCTCCACGCACCGACACGGTGAGCGCGGTCCCCACTGCCCTCCTGAGCCGAGCCACGCAGGCCGCGGGCCATCGGAGTCCGGGCGAGGGTCCCGGCCTGCCCGGAAGACTTGGCGGAGCAGAAAGGCCTGGGGCCGAGACTCACCACAGGGCCAGCGAGCCGTCCCACGGCGCCGCCATCTTGTTGTCTCGGGGTTTCCCAGGCGACCAGGGCCCGAGCACTTCTCATTGGCTAACTCCCAGAGGATCTCTGACGAACCCAACGAAAGCGGGTGTAGCCGACTGTGCCCGAATACTATTGGCCCACGGTAAAGATGAGCTGCTCGGGATACTTCAGATCCCAGAATGCACCGCTCAACGAGGTCAGAGGTCAGAGAGCTCTCCTCCGGCCGGGACTTTGCAGCTGGAACCTCTGGCCCTGAGGCTGTGACAATGACAGTGTCAAGAGTGAGCTAAATTAATCTTGGGGAAATAACATTTCCTTTGTTTCCCCATCTGACCATGGAAAAATGAATTGGGCTGATGCAGCTTACTTAATAAATATTTGAATCTCAGTTTCTCCTCTAACTTACGGACCAGGTAATGCCATGAAGGAAAGTTCTAATTCTAGTTCCTAGGTGGAAGAAGTGGGTAGCATACCCCACTCCCAGTTTACAAATAAATTCCATTCCTTGACGGCTCAGCGGGTAAAGGCGCTTGCAGCCAAGCCTGAGGACCTGAGTTCTATCACTGGGGCACACACAACAGGAGACAAGGACTCCTGGGGCTGTCCTCTGACTTCCATACAGACTCTATCCACAGGCACACACAAAATAAGCTGCTAAAGCCGGGCGTTGGTGGCACACGTCTTTAAACCCAGCACAGAAGCAAGTAGATCTGAGGTCAACGCTAGTGTGGTCTACGGAGTGAGTTCTAAGACAGTCAGGGCTATGTACAGTGAAACCCTGTCTCAAAAAATTAAAACAACAAAATCACCAAATAAATAAATAATAAAATTAGACTAATGACGCAGAAGTAACTACAGACAGTTTAGTTAGGGCTCTAAACTTTGTCCTCACCAGGCAAAGGTATGGCCTTGGACACCCGACAGGGTCGCTGGGATGGTTAAGTGAAATTAATGCAAAGTACTTATGAAAACATCTGTACAGATGTTTTCAAAAATATTTCTTGCCAGGCAGTGGTGGCGCATGCCTTTAGTCCAAGAACTCTGAAGGCAAAGATAGATCAATATCTGAGTTCAAGGCCAGTCTCGGCTACAGAGTGAGTCCCAGGACAGCCATATTGGTTGCGACCCTATTGGGGGTCAAATGCGAGATATCCTGCATATCAAATATTTACATTGATTCATAATAGTAGCAACAAGATAATTTTATGGTTGGAGCCACCACAACAGGACGAACTACATTGAAGAGTCACAGCCTTAGGAAGGCTGAGAGCCACTGCCCAGCTCTCCCCAGAGCCACTTCCCAGGTCTTGTCATTCAGGGTACCATCTTAGAGACCCTGAGAATCTCTCTGAGGTCCCCAGCTTCAAATAAGCCTTAAGTGCCAGAAGACCTTGGAGACCCATCTGCATAGCCTCCACACTCTCTGGGACTCCCTCTGCTTCCAGGATGGAGTGTGCCCGCTCCGCTGACTGCCTCTGTCTCATTCACAGTCTGAGCGTCTGTTCTTTCCAACACAGGATCTCTATGGAGCCCCGGCTGTCCTGGAGCTCACTCTGTAGACCAGGCTGGCCTCTAACTCAGAGAGATCCGCCTGCCTCTGCCTCCCGAGTGCTGCTGCCGCCGCAGCCACCACCACCACCACCACCACCACCATCGGTATCCAGGCATTAGGCTGACTCTGCCCCTTGACAACCGACATGCAGGCAGATACTTAGGTAGCGTGGCTATGCCATGGCTACGTCATGTGCTATTTGGCTGCGTAAGGACTCTGTGCGCATGTGCAGGCTTCCCCTTTAAGCGAGCGCCTCCCGTGCCTTCTCTCTCTCTTGTACCTCTGCTCCTGGTTACCTAACATCTACTCCTCTCTTTATTCCCTTTTCCCAATAAATTCCACGTAGGTTTGTTGAGTCTTGTGATTCCTGTTTCATCGCCGGTGGCCCACAACTGAGGCAAAAACAAGTGGACAGAGTCTGCTTGACTTTTTGGTCATTTCATGGAAGATGCTTGTCAGGGCTGGCTCCTTTGTGGTTAGGAGTTTATTGGGCGCTAGCCGCTCAGGGAGGAATGAACGGAGAAAGGGGCACTTCTAAGCCTGTGGAGTCCCTGGGGACTAACCTAGCTCCACCCCTCCTTCCCCCTCTCTGTCACCCCTACAGCCCCCTCCTCTGATGAAGAACTGTCTTCCCCAGCTTATCAGAGTGCTTGAAGCCTTTATGGTTCCTGTCCAGCCTTCTATCCTCCACTTCCAAGCGGCACACTCCTTCTTGGGTGCTAGGATTTTTCTGGGATGCCTTCCATCGCTCCTCTAGAATCCCTCTCCTTCAAGAGCCAGCTCAGATGCCCCTCCTCCAGGAAATCAGCTCAGGTCTTACTCCAGCTCCTTAAGCATATACTCTACATTCTGCGTTAAAGCCTGGTGCCATGAGGGTCTTCCCATTCGGTTTTGTGACCTATAGTCTCTCTCTCTCTCTCTCTCTCTCTCTCTCTCTCTCTCTCTCTCTCTCTCTCTCTCTCTCTCTCTCACACACACACACACACACACACACTCACTATGTGTCCTCAAGGGAAGAGTCTCTTTCTCATTCATCTTGCCCAAGCTGCTAAGTAGCAATAGATTAGAAGAGTAAGTGAGCAGATGGATGGATGGATGGATGGATGATTTACCTTGATAGAAATTTGAGGACAGCTTGGGCTACATTGTGAGTTCCAGGCTAGTGTAGACTACCAGAGTGAGATCCTGCCTCAAAAACAGCAGTAGCAACAACAAAGATTTACCCTGAGTGCTCCATAGTGCTATTAAATCATACCTCTCTCCACAAAAACTAGAATCTTAGGGCCGACCACATGCTCCCACTGTAACGTGTGCTGCAGCACCCTCCCCTGCTTTATCCCAGGTCATCACGGAACAAGGTACATAGTGAGTACTTGTTCTGTGTGGGCCTTGTGCTACGCCCTGGGGAAAGTCATTAAAGAACACTGTGCAGCTGTCCTGGGTAGCACAGTGCCACATGCCTATAACCCCAGCACTCAAGGGGCAGAGGAAGAGCTTGGGAGGATCACACGTTTAGGGGCAGCCTGGGCTACATAGTGAGACCCCCCCCAATCTCAAAGAAGGTTTGTGGGAGGAGGAGAGGAGCAGGGAAGAGGCATTCTCCTCCTCCCCCATCTCCTCTCTCCCGCCCCTCTCCTTGTCCCCCAGCCTTTGAGAGAGAATACTGTGCAATTGGGCTGTGGTAGCAACCTACAGTGCTGTGTGTCTACATGTTCCCTCCAAGTCTGAGCATTGGCAGGTCCTCCCAGGGTCCAGTCCTGACCGCTTGTCTGGATGTGTTTTCTCCATTTCTCTCTTCTCACATCTTGATTTCTTCAGGATTTATTGAAACCTGAAATTGCCAGTCTCTTTTTATCTTCCCCCATTTGAACGTCAGCTCCATAGGTAGAGACCATGTGTTTTTGTTCACGGCTGTGTCCCCAAGGCCTAAACAAAAACCAGTAACAGGCACACAGCCGGTCATGTGGCTCTCTCTTTAGCTGCATCCAGTCTTTCAGCCCTGCCCATTGAGCTCTTCTCTTCTCTTTTTTTTGGGGGGGAGGGTTTCAAGACAGGGTTTTTCTGTGGCTTTGGAACCTGTCCTAGAACTCGCTTTGTAGACCAGGCTGGCCTTAAACTCACAGAGATCCACCTGCCTCTGCCTCCCAAGTGCTGGGACTAAAGGCGTGAGCCACCACTGACTGGTTTATTTTTATTTAGTTATTTTTCCAGTGCTGAGTATTGAACCCATGACTGCGCACTAGGCATGTGCTCTCACTAAGCATGTGCTCTACCACTGACCCACCCTTCAAGAAGCATCATCTTGCAAAGCTCCAAAGTTTCCTTTTCAGATCCTGAGATGTGAGGTGTGGCGTGATGCTCCCATTGGTGCGGATGTAGTGTTGGGTGGTGCAGGATGGGACATAAGGTTTCTGAGAACATCCTTAAGGGCCATGAGGTCTTGGACACGGACAGATGTTTGCTGCCTGTCCACCCCCAAGAAAAGAAGTAGGGTTTCAAACATTTGCCTCTCTTGGCCTCTGGGCAGCTACATACTGTCTTGATGGTATTTGAATAGACAGAGCCTAGTTATCAAACTGAGAGGGCTTCTAGAAAGCCCCATTTGACAGATGGGAAAAGTGAGATAAGGCAAAAGCAGGCTGGAACTACATACAGGCTTGACCTCCCAATGGCTGTGTTCCTTCTCTAGGTGAACTTTGAGCCTTGACAAAGCAGGATAGTTGTCCACATGCCCCACACCTCTCCTCAGAGCTGGAGACACAATTCCTCAGTCTAACAATTGAGCCTCCCACCCCCAGCCTTCTCCCTCAGGTTCAGACCTCCACTCCCCTGTGCATACCACTGCACAGCACAAATTTTAATTGGTCTCAGTAATAACCCCCCAACACACTTGGAATGAAGAGCCAGAGGGGATAAGGCTGACTCAAAACTAATCCAGCCTCAAATCTAAGTGATCCTGACCTTTCACAAAACTGATGGCGGCATCCACTCCACTGTAGACGGAGTTTTCTGTACCACCTGGTTCCACCACCCTTCAGTCCAAATAAACACACAGAGGCTTCTATTAATTATAAAGTGTTTGGCCAACGGTTTAGGCTTTTTATTGGCTAGCTCTCTCTTAATTATTAACACATGACTATCAACCTATGTATTTCTACATGGCCTTATCTTACTGGAGAATGCCCCATATTCTATCTTCCCTGCAGCTACTGCTCCTGTGTCCTCTCCCCAGAATTCTCCTCCTCCTCGTCTGGTACCCCACCTATACTTCCTGCCTGGCTACTGGCCAACCAGTGTTTCCCTCATCAACCAATAGGAGGAGTATATATTCACAGCTACAGGACATCCCCCATCCCTCCTCTCTTAGTTCCCTGGTCTTGTCTGTTCTTTTGCATGTCCCGGGCAGCCCAGCCTGGCCTCAAAGTCACTGTATATCTGTACCTGCTCTTGATCCCCTCTTCCTGCTTCTACCTCCTGAGCTCTGGTGTTACAGGAACTACATCTTCAAACACTTCTACCATTCTTGTAATAGTTGCTAATGTTGGTTATTACCAACATTCAGGATTTGTGTGTGTGTTGATTTGATACTGGGTCTTACTATGTAGTTCAGGCTGCCTTGGAACTCACCATGTAGATCAGGCTATCGTCAAACTCAGAGATCCACCTGCCTCTGCCTTATGCTGGGATTAAAGGTGTGTTTCACCGTGCCCAGCTAGTGTTCTTTAAAATAGATAGTGATGGCATATGCCTTTGATCCCAGAAGTCAGGAAGCAGAGGCAGGCTTGTTCTCACCCCCCCCATCTTATGTGCATGTGTGTCTGTGTGAGTGTCAGGTTCTTTGGAACTGGAGTCACAGACGGTTGTGAGCCACCTTGTGGGTGCTGGGAAGTGAACACGGGTCCTCAGGAAGAGCAGCCAGAGTTCTTAACTGCTGAGCCATCTCTCCAACCCTTTGTTGACTCTTTTTAAAATAAGTTATTAGCCAGCAGGGATGCAGGCCTGTAATTCCAGCACTCAGGAGGCTGAGACAGGAGGACCCTGAATTTAAACCTAGCCAGAGTGATTTAGACCACGTCTCAAAAATATAAATAAAATAAGGGCATAAAATATAAAATATAAAAATAGCCAGGCATTGGTGGTGCATGTCTGTAGTACCAGCACTTGGGAGGCAGAGGCAAGCATATCTCTGTGAGTTTGAGACCAGCCTGGTCTACAAGAGCTAGCTCCAGGACAGGCTCCAAAGCCACAGAGAAACCCTGTCTCAAAAAATTAAAAACAAAAAAAAATGAAACAAAACAAACAAAAAAGATTATTGCCGGGGTGGTAATGGTCCATGCCCTTAATCCCAGCTCTCAGAAGGCAGAAGCAGGCCATTTCTGTGAATTTGAGGCCAGCCTGGTCTACAGAACTGGTTCCAGGACAGTCAGAGCTACACAGAGAAACCCTGTCTCAAAAGAGAAAGAAAGAAGAAGAAATAAGGATTAGCACTGCATTTGATCCTCCAGCAGCAATTTTTTGTTTGTTTGTTTTGCTTCTTTTTGTTAAAGACTCAGAGATTCAGCCTTAGGCCTGAGGCACTAACTGTCAAATGATGAAAGCAAGGACACATGGTTCCAAGTCTAGGTAGGTACGCCCTACAGTTGCCCTCTTGCTGCCCCTCATTCCCTGCCTGGGCTTTTGAGAACTCAGAATTCGCCTACCAGTTCCTGGAACCTCAAGGCTAGTTTCATCCACCCCCAGGTTTGAAAGAAGGTAGCTCCCTTCCCCGCCCCCAGGCCCTCCTTCTCCCACCCCCTCACCCCTCCCTATCTCCTCTGCCTCCAAGTTCAAAAGCAGCGGAGCTCAAAGAGGCCTCAGATAGCCCAGAGCCCATCTCTCACAGCTGCCACCAGAGCCTCGAAAGGTCCAGGATGAACAGCTTCCTCCTCCTCGTCACCATCAGTCTCCTGGTTGCAGTTCAGGTAAAGAGCCCTTAATCCCTGCTTCCACTGATGACTGGGTTGGGGTGAGGAAGGGAATGCCAGTTCCTGGGCCAGCCAGCCTTCCACCACAGTGACAGAGGTAGATGGTCACCAACAGGAAACCTGGGATACAGGAGGGCCTGTATGCCTGGGTTCCCACTTCTCTTAGCGGCCATCAGACTACCCTCTGGGAAGCCCAGGGTCCCATGTGGGGAAGCCTCACAGGGAGTCAGGTACATGGAGGCATTCAAAGGGTTTTGTGCATTTCTGGATCATGAAGCCTGGGGGGAAGCTCTGTTGAGGAAAGCTGCAGAAACAGCCCTTTGGGCAGGGGAGAGCAGATGTCTAATAGACTGCCGTAGGTGGCAGGGGGTTCCCCGACCCTGCTGTAGAGAAGCCTGGCTATGTGGGAATGCAGAGTCTCCCAATCACTCTCTAAATCAACTGCCACTCTAGGAGGCAGCCTCTGTGGCCCCAGTGTGCCCAGAGGGGACCTGATTAATACAGGAATGGAGCCATCAAGTTCTTGATCAAGAACATCTCGTTCAAGCATCAAGGGCAGTTTGATTGCCACCAAAAGCAGCTTCAGTTACCACTCAATCAAGCATCAAGGACAACTTGTCACATCTGGCCATTTCCACCCCACACTCTGCCAGGGACCTTTTCATTCGGCCCTGTCTAATGTCATACTCCCAGTCATAATGGACTCTTCCTGATAGGAGAAAAAATTCCCAACTGGAGTACCACAAACCCAGAGTACCCCCACATTTCTGGGAGGGGAGCCCTTTCCTCAGGTTCAGAAGATCAAGGATGGGTTTCTACTACCCTCTGCGCTGGAAGATCTGGTGGCCTGAAAAGTGACAGGAAATTTCTGTGGGGGTGGGAAAATGACAGGGACAGAGACGCCTTTATCCCTGCCTGTGATGAGACAAGAAGCCAGACAACCCGACAGGGCCTATGGCAGAGGCTTTATGAAGGCCTAGAGTGGGGAAGGCCTGCTGGGGAGTGAGCTCTTAACCCGAGGTGCATATCCTGTGCACTGCAATTCTCTTGCAGATACAAACAGGAGTCTTGGGAAACAATGCTACCAAAGTGACTACTCCTGCTCGTCCTGCCACTACCGTCAAACACGCCTCCCCACGGAGTGGGGCCTCCTCACTCATCGATGCGGGTGCCTGCAGTTTCTTCTTTTTCGCCAACTTCTTAATGTGCTTCTTCTCCCTCAGCTGAGGTGATGATGTCACTTCTACAGCCCTATGCTCCTCAAACAACTGCCACTGTCGTAGCAAGACACCCCAACCCAGCCCTTGGAAATGGTTGACACCAGAGATCCCAGGAAGTTAAAATCGACAGCCAGTGGCCAAAATGGGGAGGTGCTGATGGACGGGGGCAAGTGACACCCAGCTGGGGCTCAATAAAGTTATACGTAGGCTTAGATGGGACCCCACATGTGGTCACTGGTCATTACTGATCCCAGGAGTCATGTGTGCAGTAGCATTAGGAGCTTTCTGTGGCCATGTGCAGGGAAGGTGGCATCAAGGCACTTCCCCCAGGGTCCCTGCCTTAAAGTCTTCTTGCAGAGACATGGACAGGAAGCTGTCACTCTCATTGCCACCATTAGTTGTATTTGCTTCACTTGTGCCTGAGTATTTAGGAGTGATGAACCCAGTTCTATCCACCCGACACCTCCCAGGCCCTCAACACCTCAGGTTCAGGCAGACTCCCACCCCATGACCTAGGTGCCTTCATAATGACAGATGCAGGGAAATCACAGATAGTTTGGCTCTGTCTCTATCAAAACTCCCAGCTGGAGTACTGCAGATCCAGAAGCATCCCCTATCTGTAAGGGTTCCAAAGGCATCTCATGAGTCACCTGTCTTTATATCTCTACCACAAGGCTAGAGGCCGAGGAGGCAAGTGTTACCACCCACACCCACAGTCAGGGAAGGCAGGAAGGACAAACAGCTCCTCTAGCCACTCCCCCTCCACGGATTGGGGCTGATGTTTGGAGCTACAAAGTGAGGGAAAAAGCCCAGACTGGTCCCCAAGGGCCCCCGCCTCTGTGTCTTCCCAGGAACCTCTACCAACAGAGGACTGGGAAGCTTGAGTATGTCTTTAGGTCTCTGATAGCCTGACCTGTTACCTACCCAGGAACCTAGCCCCTTCTGGCTTTTTGGACTAAGGTCAAACCTTCAGGTTTTGAGACTAGAGTTGGAAGAAGCAGGGAGGAGCCCCAGGATAAGGCTTCTTGGACTGTAGACCCCCTCATCTCTCTTGCCATGCCCACTGTGGGCTCATACCCTGAACCTTGAAGTTTTCACCCTTGGACACATCTGTATCCTAGAACATTTTCCCCTGCTTCCTCTATCTGGCCTGGCCAACTCCTTCCCATGTGTGTCAGCTAGGGGTGATTCTTCAAGTGGGACAGCCCTTCACTTCTGTTCCCAGAACACCCATCAGGAATCTGTACTGGCATGGAACACAGGGGCTTTGTGCCAGGCCCCCACAGTCAGGAAAGCAGAACACATGGCACCCCGTTAGTCTGGCTCGGGGGCTCCCTCTGGTGACAGGGGGCGGCTGTACAAGGAGAGAGGCCAACACGAAGAGGGGCCAGAAGTTTGGCAACGGTGACCCTGTCCCTCCCAAAGGCAAGGTGCAAAGACATGACAACACCCAGCAGCGTGATAGAAAATAGCTTATGTTACAGCAAAAATCTGTTAAAAAACAAAACAAAACAAAAACGTTTCATCCCAGCAAAAGCCTGCAGCAGGAAACTGGGGTGAAGTTGGTTCAGAGTATGTGGACACTCCAGATCTGGGAAGGCCTGTCCTTGGTTGGTTCCCATAGCACCACGTGGTCCCGGTCATAACCTCTACCACCTGAGGGTGAGATTTCAGACATGGTCAGGGTGAGGACACAGCAATGACCCCAGTCCCCTTGGGTGCCCCTTTCCCACAGCCTTTGTTACCCTTCACGTCGAGGATTTGGCCTTCAAACATCTGGCTGCAGATGTGACCCAGTTCACTGATGCTCCAAGTTTGGCGTGGCAGGCGGCTCTCAGCCCACAGCACGACTTTGGAGCCTGGGCTAGGAGGTCCAATCACCTGTAGGCTCATGGCAGGGGCCACCTGAGGCCCCAGAAGATCATTAGACATTGCATTCCCCACAGGAAATCGTCCATGCTCAAGCTATCCCTTAGATACCGGATTTCTGTGTTTCTTTTGTCTTTGAGACAGGGTCTCATTATGTAGCCTCGGCTGGCCTAGACCTTACTGCATAGACCAGGCTGGCCTTGAAATCATAGATTCCCAACTGTTTCTGCCTCCTGAGTGCTGGGACTAAAAATATGCACTGCCATACCCAGCTTGTAAGTTGGTTTTGAATGCTGGCTATTACAACTGAGGCCTCGGCAAGTCTCTTTATCCTTTTTTAGACTTATTTTATGAGTATTTTTTCTGAATATCTATCTGTGCATCACATATACACCTGGTGCCCACAGAGGTCAGAAGAGGGCATCAAATCCGCTGGAAATGGAGTTAGGAGTGGCTATGAGGCATCATTTTTGTGCTGGGAACTGAGCCCAGGTCCTCTGCAAAAGCAACAGCTTTTAACTGCTGTATCATTTCTCCAGTCCCCAAAAAATAGTTTTTGGAAGTTTAACATGAGAACACTAAAAGAGGTAGCATTCTCTACTTCCTCCATGCATCTTGGATCTAACTGGGCTGGGATTTCCCAAAGTAGGGTTGCAAACCTGGAGTTCAGCAGAACTGGCTAGCTCCAGAACCATACCTGGTTCTTCAGCAGTCCATCTTCATAGTACCAGACACAGCTGCCCCCCGCTCGGGGCTCAGAGACCACCACACGGCCTGCTTTCATGTCCTCTACCCGATCAGGCACCGCCAGGAATCCCCCTAGCGCCGCATTCCAGAGGCGGAAATAGGCTCGGCGCTGCCGAGGAGGAGAAGCTGAGAGTTTGCAGCCAGGGATGCCACCACCCTCAATCCTGAGCCCTCCAGGAGACTCACACCTCCAAACCCTCCTGGCCTCCAAACTTTTCCCGACCCTGTTCTATGTCACACCTTTTTCACACACCCATACTGAGGGCACATGCATAACACGCGTGCACAGTTCTGTGACCACAGATACCTACACTTGTATCTAGGGACCCTGGTGGATATACCCACAGTCCACAAGGTGGCACAGTTTACAGAAGGCACAAACAATTCCACAGGTCCATGCAGTTATCACATGCACACATCATAATTGACACACAGATCCTTCCAGCCTGTTTAGTGCCAAGTACCTATGCTTGCTACAGGTACAGCTGATGGTAAGAATGCAGATTACAAGGACACACACACACACACACACACACACACACACACACAGAGAGAGAGAGAGAGAGAGAGAGAGAGAGAGAGAGAGATGCATGCATGCATGCATGCATGCATCTATACTAAAGCTAAAGGGAAATACAGTGACACTAAATGGCCAGATATCAGAACTGGCTCAGCCAGCATCAGCAATGTCCTCATTAGAGGTGACAGTAATAGAAATAATGATGAAAGCCCTATGTATCATTTGTGGCGTGTTTCCCACTAGGGCACTGCCCAAGGATTCTGCAGTCATTATCCATCTTCAGTCCTCAACAAAGTCAGGACACAAATGCTACCCCCATTTCCCTATTTTATAGATGAGGAAGCAGCTGGGCATGATGGAGCACACTTTAAATCCCAGCACTTAGGAGGCAGAGGCAGGTGAATCTTTGAGTTTGGGGCCAGCTTGGTCTACATACAGAGTTCCAGGCTAGTCAGAATTTTATACACATAGTGAGTCCCTGCCTTAATATATAGGTGTATATACATACAGAAACAACGATCCCAGCAGGGACAGTGCTTGCCCAACTAAATTCCACACCCACTTCCCTGGGTCTTTATTTCCCCATGTGAGAGTTAGAGATATCTGCCAGGATTTCTGCTAGCATCACTGCCATGACAGTCTGTTAACAGAGAGACTAAACACATGCTCTTGCCCTTGTACACAAGCATATATGCTCAGAAGGCTTTAGGGCTGAGGTGTAAATAGGCACACATACCCATGTCCATGTACACAGAAACATACAAATCACCTCCACAGTACTCATATGCATGACCTCAAATGACATAGACACAAACATATTCTTAGATGGGCACATGTATGTTATGTGTGCATACACACACAGACCCTCAGGCCACAGCCATATCCTAGAAATATGTGTGTGCAGAAATGAAGCCAACTTCTAAACAAGCAGGTACAGACATGCACCCTCACATGCAAGCTTCATGCTTCCCAAAGCCAAGTATGCCGACTCCTGGTTAAGTGGTACATGAGATGATTTTCAGTTTGGGGTGAATAAGCCTATTGTGTGGTCCTTTAGGACAAGGACGTTGTTCTGTTTTCAAGTTTGTTTAGAAGAAACTACCGAGATGACAACGCAAGCAGAGGCTAAGGACAAACTGTGACACAAACGTCAAGCTTTGAAACACACAGATGCACGTGAGGCAGCCACATCCAGGGACAGGCACACCCAGAGGTGCTCACGCTGACTACTACCTACCTGCTTAATAGGGTAGAGGGAGCCCACCCTCTGAGTGCCGCTGTAGGTCAGCCAGTTGGTAATCTCACAGCCACCCACTAGCCACTGCCGTCCCCGGAAGTCACTGTGTTCACACACCACCCAGCTGCACCCAGCAGATGCCAGAGACACGGGGACACAGAAAGACAGAGGCCAAGGCACAGGTGTTAGAAAAACCTCTGCCTCCTCTTCCCTCACACCAGGATAAGGGCCCACAGTGGGGAGGAGGAGGCCAATGAGTAATTTGGGTTTTTAGGACCCAGCATCCAGCAAAGCTCTGAGACCCAGAGGCCCCCAGTTCATACTGATCCCTTCTTCCTAGCCTGGAGTGGGGTTCCCCAGCCCACGACTCACCCAACCCAGCCAGGAGCCTTCCCCCCACACTCACACGCCGCCTTTGACGCGCACAGACAGCACGTGGTTGTTGAAGCCCTGGGCCTGCAGGCTTCGCACCTCCCGGGTTAGCTCGATCTCCTTGCCCTCGAAGCACTCCAGGCCAAAGAGGGACAGGGAAGGCTCTGAAAAGTGCTGGGGCAGAAGAAGGGGAGGTGAGGCCATGAAACCCCCAGCTCAGGCTGTCCTACAGTCCCAACAGCTGCACCCCAGATCTGCGGGCCTCCTAGCTTCTGAGGGCATTTTCTATCAGCAAGGCCCCCAGATTTTCAGTTCCAGCACGTGACAGGCTGGTACCAGCTCAACTCACAGTCCTTGCTTTGAAACATTTCTTGCATATTTTATTTTATTGTATTTTTGAACAGGGATCTCACTAAATTGTTCAGACTAGTCTGGGACTCACTGTAGCACAGGCCTTAGTTTCCTGAGTCTTGG